GTTACATCGGAGGAGCACCGTTCGGGTCGGGATGTCCTTGATAGAAAAAACCAAATGCGTCAAACTCGACAGTAACATTGTTGTCTCGAGTGAGTGATCGAACAGAAACAAGGTTTTTGACTAGGGAGGGGGAAACTAGGATGTTCTTGAGGAAAAGGGGATTGTGAGGAGTGGCAATGGTGGTGGACGCACGGTGGGTGACAGGCAAGAGTGCGCCGTTGCCAACAGTAATAGGAGCGGAATTAGGAAGGGGTTGAGAGGAGGGAAAATTACCAGCATGGGACGCCATGTGCGACGTCGCTCATGTATCCAGGAACCACTCGGTGGCCTGGGGGCCACTCGGTGGTACGCCGAACGTGGCGAGGGCGGCCAGCAACACCTGGTGGTTCCAGACGTCAGTCGGTAGAGACGGTTGCTGGAACGGAGCCGAAGGAGGAGGTGGTGTGCTGGCGAAGTAAGCTTGTTGAGGCGGCGCACCGGGGCGTGTACCAAGGACACCGGCACCAGGAACACGGAATTGCATGGGCCAGGCCTGGACCATCCCTGTCCACGGATTGACGCCAGGTGCCCAAGCCTGGGAAGCACGGGACCAAGATAAACGCCACGCCACGCCCGCGGCCCGCGACCACGTTTGCCATCGAAACGTGGAGCGGAGGTGTTGGCAACCGTCGGGGGCCGTGGAGCAGAAGACTGGGCGCCCTGGCCAACACTGGAACCGCCATCCCCGGCAGCTGGAGCAAGAGGCCTAGGACCACCAGCGGCGAGAAGAGCATGTTGTGCGGCTGACTTGGCGTGTTCCTTGTCATACTGTTCCTCCAGGAGCAAGTAGGAGCGGGCGGAGAGGAAGGTGTGGTGCGGGTTCTTGGCGGTGATCACCGGAACGGTGTGGCGGTATTTGGAGGAGAGACCACGGAGCATGTTGAGGACTTGGGACGTCTCGCGCACGGGCTGGCCGACATCGTGCAAGGCGTCGGCGAGCTGCTTCAGCTTGCGGTGTAGGTCTTGATGTCCATGTCGCCTTGGACCAAGCTCCGGAACTCAACCTCCAGGTGACCGCTCGGTGAAGCTCATGATCCCGGAACTGATCATGGATCGCGTTCCAGATGGTGAACGCCGTGGCCTTGGGGGCGCGGACAATGGCGCGCACATCCTTGGACACAGTGTTGTAGATCCAGCTGAGGATGCGCTGGTCTACCATCGCCCACTCTGGATCACGACGGTTGGCAGGGGTGGGAGGAGAGGTAAGATGAGATCCGATGCCGAACTTGCCGATGAACGCATCGAAGAAGCACCGCCACTCGGTGTAGTTCGATTCAGCGATATCAAGCTCGGCGGGAATATGGGACTTGATGTTGATGGTTTGCAGGACATTGGTGGGGAGCGGCGAGACGGTTGCGGTGTAGGATTCACCGCCGTCAACAGAGGAGGAGGAAGAGGAGTCGACATCGGAGACGTCAGCGTCGAAGAGGGGGTTGGAGTCCATGAGATTGGATCGCGGCATGGGAACGGAAGGCAGCGGTGAGAGGAGAACGGCCGCGGCGAGCACAAGGAGCGCGGCGCGGCGAGCGCGGAGGGAGAACCGATCGGCGAGGAGCAGCGGTTGCGAGGGAGCAGGAGGATCAACCCGCGCAAGCTGATACCATGCAGAAGAATGAGAGCCAACAAGATCTCGTATTGCACTCCGGGTGTTACATATACAGATTACAGAGGGCCGGCGCTAGGCGCGCACGGGCTGAGATCGTGGGCGCCGTTCGTGGTCACCACGGTCAAGATATGACTAACTACCTTAGTCTACACCGTTACAATGTTATCCTTCAACAGTCACCACGCCGGCGCAGCCGTCGTCAGGCCGCCGCGTGCGTCATGACTACAGCCGCCGCTTCGCCCAAGTCACACGGCAATGCCAGTCCCTGCTCTCCTCAGCCACAGAGCTCAGCGTCGACGCCGACCGTGCCGACGGCCACTCGTTCGGCCAGCTATCCTTCACGGGTGGCGATTGGAGCCAGGACGCCGGGCACGATCCGCTGTTCCCGTTCCATGAGGTCCCTGAAGCAGCAGTTCCCCTGGTGTCCTTCAGGCTCACGGAGGTTGAAATCGATCAGCGACGACGAGCCTTTAACGCAAGTGGGCTCCTTAGCTTCACCTTGGCCTGCAACGGCGGCTGCCGGCCACAGAAACCGGAGAACGAGCTCTGGCATGGAGTCGCCAAATTCCATTTACACTTTGAAGGTGTGTATATTGAGACACCGTCGTCATCGTCCAGCGACGACAGCGACGGCGAGAGGGTGCTGTGTATGGTCGGCAACTCTGCTCTCCCGATGCTCTGGCGCAGCAGCAACGGCACCAGCTCCTGGGAGTCTGGGACTGGGTGAAGGGGCATGGTGGCGAGACCAACATCATTGAGCCGTCGACGACCGAGGCCGGCGGCAACGGCAACGTCCTCCTTGTGCTACGGTACCCGAAGGCGCACACGCTGACAACTCGCGCCGTGCGTGGCGAGATGACGAGCCTAGGCTCCAAGTCGGACGGTGCCTACTTCGACACAGCCTGGTGTCCCGGCTCAGCCTGTACTCCTGGTACACCAACCACGCGTCCTTCCGCGACGGCGAAGTCGCGGGCACGTGTACAGAGGTGCCTCCTTCTGCGACATCCTTGGCCAGTTCACTTCCCCCGACCACGAACTCTGCAGCTCCACAGACGAGCTGTTCTGCAGTCGTCCTGGGCCGTTCGAGACCAGCGGCGGCGGGGACCGGGTCAGAAGCATGGCGTTCACTCGCTCTGCCGTCACGGTCCAGGACCTCCAGTGTGCGCAAGCTCGAGGGTGAGCCGGTGGAAGTGGAACAAGTTGAAAGAGGCCATGGCATGCAGAAACAGCAGATGCTGAATGTGTCTGCCGTGTTCATGGCATCCAGGAACGATCCGGCCGGCAGGCAGAGTCCGGTGATGTCGTTGGAGGGCGTGTACAGCCCGGAGGATGGGCGAATGTTCCTGATCGGCTGCCGTGACGTCGACGCCCCATGGCGCGTCCTGACAACGATCAGGGACCTCGAAGATGGCATGGACTGCTCCATACAAGTCATCGTGGAGTATCCACCAACAAAAATCCGGTGGATGGTAAGCCGGGCTGCCAAGGTCTTCGTCACCAGCACGAGGGACGACAGCGACCGCTTCATTTCAGCAGGACGGAGCTCCGGACACTACCGAACTACGACCACAACCTGGGCGTGCTGCCGGAGTCCACGCAGGGGCTCTTCTGCATCGCCATGCTGTCGACCAACATCTCCGCCACCATCAGCCAGCTGCGGTACGTCAACTCCCACGGTGAGGTCGCGCCGTACGTCTCCCTCGCCATGCTCGGGATCCAGGCTCTCGGCTACAGCGCGACGCTGGTCACCGATGCCAGGATGGTGCCGGCGTCGCCGGTATATAGCTACAAGATGTACGTTGATCACATGGACTGCTCCGTGAAGGCGCTCACCCTCGCAGCGCTTCTCCTCACGGTGTGGCTCGCTGAGAAGGTGTGGGTGTCCAGGGTCCTGGCGCGGGCGCGGTCACCGCTCGAGCCGGGGCGTGTCCCGCGGGATGGTGTGGTGCTCCTGTGCAGCTTCGCCGTGCACTCATGCTGCCTCTTCTTCGTCTTCGCCGCGCACTGGCTGAGCACCTGTCGCACGTCGGCGACGCCGCCGCCACCCACCGGGAAGACCTACGCGGATGGCCAGACGCCGCCGCCGAACTTGTTATGTACGTGGGGTCACGTCGTCGGACGGTATGTCGGAGTCGCGAAAGAGTGGTTCTTGCTTCCGCAGGTGATCGCCAATGCCGCCTGGCGCGTCAACTGCAAGCCTCTGGCGGGAAGGTACTACGCTGGGGTGACCATGGCGTGGCTGCTGCCACATGTCTACGGATTCCTCTGGCCACCTTCCATAAACGTGTACACCGAGGCAAACTACGATATCATGCACTACATCTACTCAAAGTCCGCCGCCGTGATGGTCCCGGTCATCGGAGTCATGCTAGCTCTCCTAGCTAGTTTATGTGCAGCGACGCTGGAACTATAGAACTGTTGGATGGGCGATGAGGACACACAGGAAGAAGCTGCCACAGCACGACTACTGAAAGATTGCACCATTAGAGGATTATTAATGGGAGTGTATGCAATGTATAGAGGCTACCGGATTTTAGCCCCTCCCAACAACCAGGTTTTGGCTATACACTTACACTGTTTTATAGCTATATTTATACCGTCTTATTATTATATTTATAATATTTTTTTAATGTAATTTATTGGACAAAGTGATGTAATTTAGGGATAATTGCAGCTCTCAAACAAATATATGCTAATTTTTTCAAATTTTTCTATAGATTCCAGATACCAAAGAAATATATGTCAAATTGTTCATAAATGTCATCAAATTATTGACAAATTTCAGAAAAAATACAAATTATGAACAATTTGTTAACGGGAGGGATCGAAGGCCCTCGCCCTCTCGGTGGCCTCCGTGGTCAACGTATAATGGCACGTATCTAAATAACTCTGTATAATTACCCCTTCTTTGAGCGGGTAACACGGATCAACGTGATCGTGTTCTACACGCGCGGTCGCGGGCGTAGGCTCTACCTTTGTATAAATGTCCATGCTCGTCGTACACTGCTTTAGGCGTCGCACGCTGTTCTTGGCCCGTGGCATGCAAATGTTGGCGTCCTAAGAGGAACAGCGGCGGCATGGCCAAGACGATCGCCATGAGCGTGGCCAGGGTCGGATGGTTGTTCCCATTACGATGCACGGACATCGCCCATATTCGCTTGAACTTATCAGTCTGGCTTATCAGCTATAATATAGTGTTTTTCTCTCATAACAGACAGTAGTTTTAAGGGGAAAAAAAGACATATACTCTGTATCACTTAGTACCGATCCCTGTGCTGAAATACTTTATTTTGGGGCAAAGTAGCATGATGTCCGTTTGCGCATCATGAATCTTGTGCGGTGTACATAGGAGAGACTAGCAGCGCGTTCGCGGCGAAGTCCTTGTCGCAGCCCAGATGGTGGCCAACAGTACGATCATGTATAGGAACCCCTTCACCATCGGCTTTATCAGCTCGTCCAACCGCCTTTGCCGATATTTGACGGGCAGCATGTGTAGCTCTGTTCTGTTAAAGTGTAGCGGGTCGTCGTCGTCCCTGGTGCTAGCCATGAAGACCTTTGCCGGCCGGCTGATCAGCCACCGGGTTGTTGTCGGTGGGTACTCCACCATCACCTCTATGGAACAGTCCATTCCTTCTTCAAGGTCTTTGCTCATCGACAGGAGCCGCCGCCGTGGGGCATGGACGTTCCGGCAGCCGATCAGGTACATTCGCCCATTCTCTGCATTGTACACGCCCTCCAGTGACATCACCGGACTTGGACCAAGGCAATTCCCGTATGCCATGAACTCCGCAGACACATTCAGTATCTGCTGCCTCTCCTCGCCATGGACTCTCTTCAATAGTTCGACGATCCGCATACTAGACCGACGCTGGACTTGGGGAGAGTAGCTTCGTCCAACGAGGGTGCCAGCAGAGAGTATCTGGAGTTCAAAGAACGACCCATCGATCCATTCTGGCACAATCGGCGGCGGCATCCCCATGAATTCATTGCGAAGATCAAGCTCGTCGGCGAGGTTGGAGAGACTCCCAATGTCAGCATTGGCAGCGCCAGCGTCGAGACTTGGGTAGCTGAGCAGTGACTTGGCAACGAAGCTGTCGCGAAATCCAGTTGGTTCGCTCGCTCCAAGGAGCTCCCGAGCCTGATCGACCTTGGTGTAGATGTACGACGTGCGCCGCCGCGACGTCACGTAGCCAGCAAACCTGCACACTCGTTTCTGGAACAACAGCGGAGGATGGCTCCTCCCATCCATCGCGGTGATCTGTCCGGCGACGATGCCGCGGCGAGTCATGGACACCGTCGTCTGCACGGAGAGGGTCACACGGTAGTGGCACGCTTCCTTACCGACGCCAAGGCAGGCCACCATGTGTGTCCGCCCCGTGGACGGGATCCACACGCCCTCGGCAGACAGGGTCATGCTGCTCAGACCCGTCCGCATCGCCGCCATGGGCTGATGCTCCCACTGGGGCACGTAGCGGAACACGGCTGCCACCCTCGCGGCCGCCGTGCCGCCGATGCTGCCGCCCGTGGACTTGCACTGGAGGCCGGTCACCGCGATGCCAGAACGAGTGAACGCCATGTCCTCCTCCGTAGCGTTTGTGGTTGTGGCAGTGGCAGGGCGGCTGGTGGACACGAACGGCCCGAGCCGGCTGCAGAACTCATTGGTCCCCTTGCAGTTCCAGTTTGGAATGACTTCCATCACCTGGTTATTGGGAATTGATTGGTAAATCATGTCGCAGGGAGAGCCGCCTCTGTTCAGGCGGTGGTGCTTCATGGCGTCGCCTTCATGGAAGGGCGAGTCGTCCTCGTCGCACGTAGCGGCATCAAGCTCCGCGTCTTCTTGCCGGAATTGGTACCCGCGGCCGGACAGCTGGGACACCAGCCGGACGGTGTCGAAGTAGGCTCCATCAGACCTGGCCTTCGTGCTCGTCATGACGCCATGCACGGCGCGAGTTGTCAGCGTCGGCGTCTTGGGGTACCGTAGCACGAGCAGGATGTTGCCGTCGGACACGACCGGCGGCTCCAAGTTGCTGCTGCCACCGCCGCGATTGTTAGCCCAGTCCCACGGGTCCGTGCTGTTGCTGCTGCGCACGGGGAGAACAGCGTCCCCGACCATACACAGCACCCTCTCGCCACCGCCGCCGCCGTCACCGCGCCCCGGCGACCTCGTCTCGGTATAGACGCCTTGGAACAGTACTTGGAGCTTGGCGATCCCTGGCCGGAGGTCGAACTCCGGCAAAGGACATGACTCCATTTCAAAACCCGGATCATACGGGCAGGAGCTGTTGCGGGCGATGGCCAAGCTAAGGATCCCGCTGGCGTTAAGTGCTGTTCGCGGACCTGGCCGTTGAGCCATGTCCATGTGCTTGAGACTGAAGGACGCCAGGGGAACTTTTTCAAACGATCCAGGACCGGCCACCACCGCCGGATCGGCATAGCTCCCTGGAACGGAAACAGGGGGCTTGGCCGGCGTCTTGGCTCCAGTCGCCATTCATGAAGGAGAGCTGCTGGTACATCAGGTTGCCGTCACGGTCTGCATCAGCCTTGAGCTCCGCGGCTGATGAGAGCACGGACTGGCAGCGCCGCTCGACGTCGGCGAACCGGGTGTAGCCTTGATGGATGGGTCCTTTACACATGCTTGGATGGCAGCGGGTGGCGGCATCGGGACGATATAATTGAACAAGGCATAGCAAGAACAAGGCAAGAATCAGCATCAAAGTGGTGACGATCTTGGCGGTCTCCATCGGTGTGGACTGCAGGAAACAATAGCTTTCAGTAAGTTATTAATTAACCGAACATAGGCTATCTGCAGCCACGGAACAGCAGTGATTAATCTACTTTTTTTCCCCGAAACGGACGGAAAAAGCTTTGCCACATATTTTAAGACGATGAAAAAGAGAAAAGGAGCAATTACAACTCCCTATTTACATCCAGCAGGATGTGATTAATCTACTAGGCACTAAATTCTAAAGTTGATCGAACTGCACTGAGAATTCCTGATCGAATTAAGATGAAATTCGTAGCGAGGCGCAGAGTTGATCGATTACCTTTGCTTAACTCCTTCAGAGCTGAAGAAGGCACGAGGAGTCAAACATGCAAACTATTGGAGTTCTGAAGTACGGCACTCCGGCACTGCTAGTATTGTCGGGTGGAGCACAGCCAGCTCATACACCCAAAGTACCTAATTGACCATGGAACTGCAACCTACCCACATGTACTCATGTGCCTTCGAATCTCCGGGATCGCATATATAACTCTAATAAAAGGAGAGATCAAGATACGACGCGAGAAACCGGGCACCTATAAGTCCATAACCAGATGGATCGTTGAACTTGTGCAAGATGACAACTAATTTCTGACATGAAAAAATTGTGCAACATCAGTAATAGGTGGTTGACTTAATTAGAAACAAATAGAGTGTGATTGGTTTACGTATCGGTTCAGCCTGACTCAGTTTCTGGGAACCAGGCCCCACAAGATAGGCTGAACTCATGTAACATAGCATGTAACTAATTTTTGGATTTTTTTTTCTACAATTTGATGTTCTCTTATCCGTTCGAATGTAATCAACAGAGATGAGCTGGAAACTTGTAAGAACTTGAGCGATCGAAGAGGCCGGAACTTTTACTTAAAAAACACAGCTAGCATGGCCGAGTTGAGATGGTGTTTGATTGCTTGCACGAGAATATGTTGCATGAGATAAATTAGTATTGCTTGAGGTAAATAAACATAATCATGAAATTTATTATGTGCAACTATTTTTTATTACTCTTAAGTTACCTTATTATTCCTTAATATTTTTCAAAATACGTTAACATATCAACTAATATATACTAATCATGCACTAACAATATCGTTATCTGAGTGATTGCTCATATCTGGCAAGCTCGTCCTAGAGAAATGCACGCGTAAAATCTACATATCCGAGGAGCCAGGCTAAGGAGGGCTTTTGCATTAGTAGAGCCAGAACCAGAGCAGCTGCAGGCAACCAAACACTAGAAACCACTGCTACAAAAAGGATTTTTTTAGCAACGTCTCCTTTTTTAGAGCAGCTCTACAATGGTGCCCAAACGAACAGCCCTTACAAATCTATTTCAGCATGTTCGTTTGTTGATTTCAGCCAAGGCTTATCAGTTATGGTACAATATTTTTCTCTCACAATAAACCAGCACCAGTTGGACTTATCAGCCCAGAAACCAACCAACGAACAGTGTGTTTGTAGGAGCTGATGGTGTTATCAGCTGTCCTTACAGATGGTTCGATTTGTAGGAGTGGGTGGATGGCTGACCGGTGGGGCCTCCCCGGGTTAAAAAAAATTGCTATTTTTTTGTCCGGATAGTCATTTCTAGAAATTGATTTGAAGGAGCTGCTAGATATAGAGTCGCCACTATAAATCTTGAGCTGCCTCAACAAATGCGATTTGTAGAGGCTGCTGGCCAACCACCCCTACAAATCAGCGATTTATAGTAATAGCAACGTTGTGGTAGTGACGGCTAGCAAAACCGCTCCTACAAATGCTTATAAGCCGCCCATGAAAGGACTGGCTGTAGCAGTGAAACTGGTTCCCGTAGACCTGATTGGAGAATTCGCATTCAACCAGTCACACCAATATGCTCTTACGCTGGTGCAAAACTCTCTTTTCTTTGCAGAAAAGCTAATTCATGTTTTCAGAGCAGCAGTACAGTTTGAGAGTATTTCTTTTTTTAAAAAAAAAGTGCGACGATACTGGCAGGAGTTGCCTCTAAAAGAATACTCCCTCCGTCCCAAATTATAAATGATTTTAACTTTTTTAGACAGTCAAAACATCTCAAGTTTAACCAAATTTATAGATAGAATTACAAAAATTTATGACATCAAATAGCTATACTATGAAAATATAATGAATGAAGAATCTATTAATACTTATTTGGTATCATAAATATTATTATTTTATTCTATATATTTGATCAAACTTGAGATGCTTTGACTATTAAGAAAATTAAAATAACTTATAATTTAGGACGGATGAAGTAATATAAATAAATAAAGGTTGTTTTTCCCGATTGAGCGACAAACAAAGTAATACTCCTAGAAAAACAGCTTGTGCCATCGACCATGTGGCTGATTGTTGACTTATGCCACTCCCTTCCTTCAACCAAAGTAGGGCCTCTACTTAAGACCCCATAACTAAATATAAATGCTCAAGCCAAAACACAGCTCGAGCAAAACCTCTGCTAGAACACCTAAATTTGAGTGGACACCCAAATCCCCCATATTGGTTTGGGCCTCCATACCCACCTCTTCCTCTTGTCTGGCTGCCACGAGTGATTGAAAAGGTCTGTTACATACCGGGTCCACTACATCTACAGGCCCAATCTCATTCAAAAAACATAACTTGGCACACTGTCTTCTTCCCTTCCTATCTGCACGTCGTCTACCTCTCGCTCTAATCTCCCTTTGTTAGCAAACAGAGTTTGTTCAATCTCCATAGCCATTCTTTCTTTCTCAAGCTCTCCCCGCCATCCCCTTTGATCGGCACACTCTTTCCATATCTCCTATTTCCTTCTAGGTCTCATTAGCATCCAGGAAACTAAGAGAGAGTTTTTTTATCTTACTTATATTAGGAAATTTTGCCCCAGATCTTTTTATAACTTCTGCTTCATCCCTTCGGTTGGAGCTTCAGGGGGTATTCTTATAGTCTGGAAGAGTTCCATCTTCTCAGGTCATGAGGTTTTCCAAAATAGGTTTGCAATATCTATGGAATTCTCTTATGTCTACAATAATGATCCATGGATTCTCACTTCAGTTTATGGGCCTTATGATAGTGAAGGCAAGGCAGAATTCATGCACTGGTTTGAAAATATTCAAATGCCAGATGATCTTGCCTGGCTTATCATTGATGATTTCAATCTCTACAGAAAACCTAAAAACAGAAATAGAGCAGGTGGAAATGTGGGTGATATGCTCTTGTTCAATAATACAATCAGTGCATTGGGGCTTGTTGAAATTCCTCTACATGGGAGAAAAATTTACTTGGACCAATAAGCAGCATCCACCACTCTTAGAAAGGCTTGACTGGTTTTTCTCCTCTCAATCTTGGACTCTCAGGTATCCTCTTACCATTGCTCATTCCTTGGTCATGAAAACCTCTGATCATTGGCCTTGTGTGATTAAGATCAAAACTTCCATTCCTAATGGAGGAATCTTCAGATTTGAGAATTGTTGGATGGCACATGATAGCTTCTTGCTTGTGGTTGCTAGTTGTTGGAATGGCTCTTTTTCTCAACAGGATGCAGCCAAGCTCCTGACTGCCAAATTCAAGTCTCTAAGATGTGCTCTAAGGTATTGGCAGGCTAAACTTTTAAATCTCAAGATCACAATTGAGAATGTTAAATTAGTTATTTCCTTCCTTGACTCTATTGAGGAATGGAGGGATCTGTCATTACAAGAATGGAATTTCAGAGACATCCTCAATCTGAAGCTCAGTTCTCTCCTCCACCAGCAAATGATCTACTGGAAGCAAAGAGGCAATGTTAAATGGGTCCAGTTGGGGGATGAGAATTCTAAGTTCTTTCACTCAATAGCAACTGTCAGGCATAGGAGGAACCTGATCACTTCACTAAATAGCCTATCTGGTGTCCCAGTTTATGACCATAATTCAAAGACTGGGCTCATTTGGTCTGATTTCAAGGATAGATTAGGCTCCTCAAGCTACCTGAACATGCTATTTGACCTTGATTCCCTCTTTGGCCAGCCCTATGATCTAAGCTCTTTAGAAGTGCCCTTTAGTAATTAAGAAATTGATGAAGTTGTGAAGAATTTGCCTCCAGACAAATCTCCAGGGCCTGATGGGTTTAATAATGAATTTCTAAAGAAATGTTGGTTTTTGATCAAGCATGATTTCTATAACCTATGCTCTGCTTTCTTCTCTGAAGAGGTTTGCCTCCAGAGCATCGATGCCTCCTTTATAACCCTCATCCTAAAAGTTGATGGGCCAACCAGAATCAGTGAATATAGACCCATCTCCCTGCTCAACTCCTCGGTAAAAGTCATCACTAAGCTGCTGGCTAACAAACTTCAGCCCTGGATTACTAAGTTGGTCCATGTCAATCAATATGGCTTCATCAAGTCTAGATCTATCCAGGACTATCTGGCTTGGTCCTTTGAGTATCTGCACCTTTGCCACTCTTCAAGAAAGGAGCTTGTAATCTTGAAGCTAGACTTTGAAAAAGCATTTGACAAAATTGAACATGAGGCTATGTTGCAAATTATGACAAAGAACGGTTTTGAGCAAAAATGGCTGGCTTGGTTGAAGCTTATATTTTCTTCTGGCACCTCTTCTATTCTACAAAACGGTGCTCCTGGTAAGGTCTTCCATTGCAGAAGAGGAGTTAGGCAGGGGGATCCCTTATCCCCTCTTCTGTTTGTGCTTGCTGTAGATTTATTGTAATCTGTTCTCAACAGGGCAAAGGAGCAAGGGTTGCTCAATCTCCCAATCCCTCTTCAGTATACTAATGACTTCCCAATCCTTCAGTATGTTGATGACACTCTTATCTTTATGGAAGGATGTGCTAGGCAATTGTTTGTGATGAAAGCCCTTCTAAACACTTTTGCTGATTCTACTAGTTTGAAGGTAAACTTCTCTAAGTCAATGCTAGTTCCAATTAATCTCCCGGAGGAAAGGCTTCAACATCTTGCTGCCACCTTTGGCTGCTCCACTGGTAGTCCGCCTTTCACCTACTTGGGGCTCCCATTGGGTACTAGTAAACCAAGAGTTGAGGACTTCTTGCCTTTGGTGACTAAATGTGAAAGGAGGCTGGTCAGCACCTCCCTTTTTCTCTCTCAAGCTGGGAAGCTCTAGATGACTAATTCTGTCTTCACATCCCTTCCTATGTTCTTCATGAGCACTTTCCATCTTCATTCCACTATCATGGAGCAAATTGACAAATATAGAAAGCACTGTCTTTGGAGATGGTCTAAAGAAAACAACAGAATCAATGCCAAGGATGCTTGGCCCTGGTGACCAAGTCAAAAGAAGGTGGACTTGGGGTGCTGGACCTCAAAACCCAAAATGAGGCCCTGCTCTAAAAAACTATCACAAATTTTACAACAGAGCAGACATCCCCTAGGTGCATCTTATCTGGGAGAAATATTATAGTAATGGTAGGCTCCCTAATCATGTCAAGAAAGGGTCATTCTGGTGGAAAGATGTCTTAAAATTGTTAGATAAGTTCAAAAGCATGGCCTCAGTTTCAGTGGCAGATGGTGCTTCTTGCCTTCTCTGGAATGATTGCTAGATGGGTCAACCTCTAAGATTAACCTTTGTTGAATTGTTCTCTTTTGCCAAGAAGCCTCTCCTTTCTCTCCAATGTGCAGCCGCAGTTACTAGCATCTCCAGTCTGTTCAGCCTTCCTCTTTCAACAGAGGCCTTTGCACAATTTCAGCAGATTAAAATCATCCTGCAAAACCTTCAGTTGTCTGATGGTGTTGACACTTGGATGTATATTTAGGGCAGCTCCATTTTCACCTCCAAGAAGGCTTACTGTCAGCTACGTGGAAGAAGTTGGTCACACGCAATTTATAAATGGATTTGGAAATCCTCTTGCTAGCATAAGCATAAGGTCTTCTTCTGGTTGCTCACTCATGTTAGACTGAGCACCCGTAACATTTTGAGGAGGAAGCACATGCACCTTCCTTCTTACAATTGTGTGATTTGTTCTCTGATTTCAAGAAAGCTTTGACGTCTTTTTTTGGAATGTGAAATGGCTAAAGCAAATCTTGTTGGCATCACAGTTAATTTAGCTCTGGACCCTTCTGAGATCTTTGAGAGTTTCAAAATGCACTAAATGTCGGTTTTATATGGAAATTATCATCATTATGAGTTGGAGTATCTGGACTATTAGGAATGATGTCATTTTCAGAGGACTCCCTGTTACCGTTCAAAGGGCTTCAGATGTTTTCGAGCACACTTTTGGCTTGCTCCTATGGAGGGCTAAAAAGAAATACTTTCCTTCAATTGAATTATGGCTAGAGCACTCTCTATAATTGTCTTAATTTTCTTTGTTTCTTTTTTTTCTGAATTTCTCTCTGCCTGTGGTCTTTCCTGTAACCTCTTGTAAAACTTTTTTTTGTTAACCTTTTTGGTTACTCTAATAAATTTTCAGTAGGGACTACCCGAGTCCCTCCTGTTCCCTAAAAAAAAAGGATTTTCTCCCTTTCTGATTCAAACTGAAATCCCCCCACGAGACATTGGCCTCGTTCGCTTGTCTTAAATTTGGCTTGTTCGGCTTATTTTTTCAGCCGGAACAGTATTTTTCTCTCACAACAATTTAGCCGGAACAGTGTTTTTCAGCCAGTTTCAGCCAAAGTTCAGACCAGCGAACGGGGCCATTGTCCTAAACTTGAGCAATTACCCCACTAGGTGTCGCACGTAGCAATCCACCGAGAAAGCGCCTCCGAACACATGTCCCGAAGACAACGCAATCCCCCAAAAAACTCTCCTGAGCTCGGCCCCACACACCACCCGTGAGCTCGCCCCACGCTCCGCCGGGCTCGGCCCACACGATGCCATCCATATGCCGCCTCGCCTGCACTCGACCCCGTGCCGGTGCGCTCGGCAGAGACGAGCTTGCCCCACGCGCCGTCGCCCCTGCACTCGGCCCCACGTGCCGCCCGCGAGCTCATCCCACGCTCCGCCACCCGCGAGCTCGTCCCATGCGCCGGTGCTCTACTTGCTCGCACGAGGTGGGTCGCCCCATCCGCTCGATTCGAAGGAACCGGCTCGGCCCGCATCAGACGAGAATATTCCTCTAGGGGATGAACCCAAACTCCTACCCCAAACCAACACTCTCGGAGCTGGGTCCAATCCATCCGAAACCCACTTGAACCAAGCACATACTGGGCAGCTCTAGTGTGCATGCAAAACGAACCGAGGGGAGAGAGAAACTGATGAAAAGTCGACGTACACACTAGAGTAACCCAACCATGCCAGAAGATTCCTCGGTTCGGCGTTTGTTCTCGGTTCGACGCTTCAACGTAAAATATTAATTTTCACGTACGCTGCCACCCACAAGAGAAAGCAGATGAGCTATGTTCTCTAACTTGTTTATTGTTTATTGTGGGTCCTACGAAGAGAACAACGAACCACACACTAGAGCTGCCCTGCTTTTCTTGCAAACGAATCGAAAGGCTGCGTTCGTGGCCTGACAACTGCAGCTCGGTTCGATACCACACTGGAGCTGTCAACCACTAGTACAATGTTTTGCTTGCACTGTTCACTTAGCTGATAAGTACGGTTGACTGATTGATTATGAGAGAAAAATAATGTTCTTTGATTAAAAAAATACGGCTTATAAACTAAAGCGAATAAGTGCCCGGAGACCAAGCTCCTTTTATTTTATTCTCGTTATATTCTTTGATCCTTCAGTTCCGAGGCACATCCGCACATGAGTATTTAGATCAGTGCTTAGGTTCTACTCTTTCAACGGTCGACTAGCGACTTTGGCATGCCATCATAAAAAAACAAGAATAGAGGCGACTTTGACGCGGTCTAAGCGACGTAGGAGTACTTACATTTATGAAGTTTTGGCTCCTGGTGCCTTCTTGGACTCTGAAGGAGAAAAGGGGTGTAAAAAAAATTAGGTAATTGATCAAAGCCTATTCGGTACTTCTGGCTGGATCGTCTGTATTATTACTGCTAACTGATTTGATGCGAAAAAAAATACTATTTTAACTGGAAGACACTGTTTATATGAACGATGCCGCGTGGGAGGGCTGGCCAGCACCGGCTAGCAGGCCGCTCCAGCCGAAAAGGCTGTCTGCACCGAATTTAATCTCAACTGGATCAGCAATTGGCAGTGCTGTTGGATCAACTACCGATGTTTCCTAGCCGCACATAGCCAATGTTCGGTTACCTAAGTATCTTACTGAATGCTACGGTTTCCTGCAGTCCACATCGATGGAGGCCGCCAAGATCGTCACCACCTTGCTGCTGAATCTTGCCTTGTTCTCGCCATGTCTCTCTGCCACCACCTCCACGTTCAATCCAATCGAGATCGACTTGATCCATCGTGACTATCACTACACCCGCTTCGCCGACGTCGACCGGCACTGCCAGTCCGTGCTCTCATCAGGCGTGGAGCTCAAGGCTGATGCCGACCGTGGCAGCAGACTGACGTACCAGCTATCCTTCGAGAACGGCAACTGGAGCCAAGACGCCGGCCAAGCTCCCCTGCTTCCGTTCCACGGGAGCTATGCCGATCCGGCGGTGGCGGCCGGTCCTGATGACCTGCCTGAAGCGGTCCCCCTGGCATCCTTCAGGCTCACGCACATGGAGACGGTTCCACGGCGAGGTGCACGAGCCGCCTTCAACGTCAGCGGCGTCCTTACTCTCAGCATCGCCCGCGACCCCGGCTGCAGCTGGGAGCTCATGGAAATGGAACCGAGCCCGTCGCCGCCAGAGTTCGAGCTCCGGCCGGGGATCGCCAGGCTCCATCTAGTGTTCCAAGGCGTGTATACCGAGACAAGGTCGTCGCCGGGGAGCGGTCCCCGTGACCGTGACGACGGCGGTGGCGAGAGGGTACTGTGTATGGTCGGGGACGCTCTTCTCCCCGTGCGCGGAAGCAACAGCACGGACCCGTGGGACTGGGCCAAGAATGATGGCGCTGGCACCAACTTGGAGCCGCCGGTCCTGTCTGACGGCAAACATTCTGCTCGTGCTACGGTACCCGAAGACGCCGACGCTGACAGCTCGCGCCGTGCATGGCGTGATGGCGAGCACGAACGCCAAGTCGGATGGCGCGTACTTCGACACCGTCCGCCTGGTGTCCCAGTCCCAGCTCTCCGGCGGCTACGGGTACGGCTACGACCCCGGTTACCAATTCCGGCAAGAAGACGACACGGAGTCGTCTTCTGATGTCGCATGGCGCAGCAAGGACGACTCTCCCTTCCATGAAGGCGACGCCGCCATGGAGCAGCACCACCTGAACAGTGGCCAATCTCTCTGCGACTTCATACACGAATCCAGTTTCGGCAGCCAGGTGATGGAAGTCGTTCCAAACTGGAATTGCAAGGGGACTGATGATGAGTTCTGCAGCCGGCTGGGGCCCTTCGTGTCCAGGCCCCCGGCCACAGGCAGAGCTATGGAGGAGGACATGGCGTTCACCCGTTCTGTCATCGCGGCGACCACGGGCTTCCAGTGCAAGCCGTTGGGCGGCAAGGACAGACGTGCAGCAGCAAGGGTGGCAGCCGTGTTCCGCTACGTGCCGCCGTGGGAGCATCAGCCCACTGCGGAAAAGAGGACCGGCATGACCTTGTCGGCCGAGGGCGTCTGGATCCCGTCTATGGGGCGGGTTTGCATGGTGGGCTGCCTAGGCGTTGGCGTCGCCAAGGAAGCATGCGGCTACCGCGTGAGTCTCTCCGTCCGGACGACGATGTCGATGAGTCGCCGCGGCATCATCGCCGGACAGATCACCGCCATGGACGGGACGAGCCACCCTCCGCTCATGTTCCAGCAACGCGTAGACCCCCGGATTGGTGGCTACAGGCCGTTGCAGCGGCGCATGTCGTACTCCTACACCAAGGTCCAACAGGCTCGGGAGCTCCTCCTTCAACTCCGAGCGAGCCAACCAGCGGGATTTCGCAACAGCTTCATTGCCAGGTCACTACTCAGCTATCCAAGTATCGCTGCTGGTGCTGGTGCCAATGATGAAATGGTGAGTCTCGCCAACCTCGCCGACGACCTTGATCTTCGCTTACAGTTCACTGTGAACCCCCGTTTGTGCCGCAATGGATCGAGGCGCCATTCTTTGAACTGCAGATACTCTCTATTGGCACCATGGTTGGACGAAACAGCTCTCGCCAATCCCAGACCCAGAGTAGGCCTAGTATGTGGCAGATCGAACTACTTAAGAGAGTCCATGCCGTGAAGAAGCAGCACATACTGCTGAATGTGTCTGCGGAGTAGGCCTAGTATGTGGCAGATCGAATTGCCTCCGTCCTAGTCCGGTGATGTCATTGGAGGGCGTGTACAACCCAGAGGATGGGCGAATGTACCTGATCGGCTGCCGGAACGTCCACGCCCCACGGCGAGTCTTGGCGGCGATCAGAGACCTTGAAGACCGAAAGGACTGCTCCATAGAGGTGACGGTGGAGTACCCACCGACGACAACGCGGTGGCTCATCAGCCGGAAGGCAAAGGTCTTCATCGCCAGCACGAGGGATGACGACGACCCACTACACTTCAACAGGACCGAGCTCCACACGCTGCCCGTCATATACCGGGACCAGCAGCGGCACGAGCTGACGGAGCCGATCGTGGAGGGGCTCCTCTGCGTCACCATGCTGTCGGCCACCATCGCCGCCACCATCAGCCAGCGGCGTTACATCAAGTCCCACGCCGACGTCGTGCCGTACATCTCCCTCGCCATGCTCGGCGTCCAGGCTCTCGGCTACACCGTGACGCTGGTCACCGATGCAAAGATGCTGCCGGCGTGACCGTCGCAGAGGTACCGACCCTACGCCTACCATATGGGTTGGAACATTCTGGACTGCTCCGTCAAAGCGCTCACCCTCGCGGCGCTTGCCGTCACGGCGTGGCTCGCTCAGAAGGTGTGGCGGTCGAGGGCCCGGGCGCGGGCGCGGGCGCCGCTCGAGCCGGATCGAGTACCCGACGACACCGTGGTGCTCCTGTACAGCTTCGGTATGCACTTGAGCACCCTCTTGTTCGCCGTCGCCGTGCACTGGCTGTGCACCTACGGCACGTCGGCGACGACTCTGTCGCGCAGGGCGGTCTACGGTGAAGCGCAGTGGAGGTCGTCGTCGCATATGCGCACACGCGGCGCCATCATGGAGCGGTATGTCGGTGTGGTGAAGGAGTGGTTTTTGCTCCCGCAGGTCATCGGCAATGCCGTCTGGCGCGTCAACTGCAAGCCTCTCGCGGCGGGATACTACGCCGGCGTCACCGCCGCGTGGTTGCTGCCACTCATTTACGGCTACCTCAACGGCGATGTTTTACCACCGATAACCTGCCACGGGAGTATCCGGAATAGTTGTTCGGGCTTCTACGAATAGCGGAATTCGACGGTTACGCAAAGAGACTCCCGATTTATACTGGTTTAGGCCATCGACTTGGTCGAGTAATAACCTTACGTCCAGTTTTGGCGTTAGCTTGTTTGCGTTGTATTGCTTTGAGTATCGGGTATGCGTTCTCTTCTTACAATGGGTATCCTCACCAGCCCTTTATAGTCCAGGCGCTGAGAGGCGTTGTTTGTGTCCTATTCGGATACAAGGTCAGAGTCTTAAGCTACGCTTCGGGCGTCTTTCTTTGTATAGTTTGCGTTGGAGTTTTGGTTTTGCACGTTGCTTTGCTCTGTGTTCTTCTTGGCGATTGGGTTGTAGGCTTTGTTACCAAGGCTTACCTCCCTGCAGTATGGTCTATGGGGGCCCGTAGGGTTTCCATCGACAAGCCCCCGAGCATTTCATGATTGAGCTTAAAGGGTCGAGTTGTAGTTTTGATCCGGGTTCTTCTTGAAGTGAAATCTTGATATGGTCTTCTTTGATTCTTCTTTTGACTGATGTGCACTTTTGCTTGATGTCCTCCGGGTTCTTTTTCCTTTGAGTGCAGCGAGTGCAATTTTTGAGTGTAGCCCCCGAGCCTTCTGTTTTTTGGTAAAAAAGCTGGATGGTCAAAAAATTTAAAAATATGTTTTTTTGTGGTAGGTACTTGCAGCCCCCGAGTCTTCTCCGGGTTCTTTTCTGTTGAAAAGAAGCCGGAAGAAGGGTCTTGATTTGTACTCCTTTGATCTTTGTCTTTTGCTGGTCACGGATGGGTCTTGTATAGCCATGAGTGAGCGTCTTCTTTTACTTTTTGTCAGGAATCTTGCTTTTGGGTACTATTCGCCTTTGTTGCTTTGCTCTTTTGTTCTTTTTCTCTCTCTTTCTTGTGATCTTTAGCCTTGTTTACCTCTGGTTTGCTATAAATACCTTCTTTGTTGGTTGTGGTTCTGCCTTGAGTAGGAAAATTCTTCTTCAATTCTTTCTTCATTCGTAGATATGCTGGTGTGTGAGGTTAAGCAGCCCCCGGACTTATGCTTGGTTGGTAATGATCATGCTGCTCTATCTGTTCTTCTGCGTTCAAGCTGTCGCTGCTACCGCCACTAGGTTTTTTGTTGCAATATTTAAGAATCTTGTCTCTATCTTATGTCTGAGTTTATCCGGTCCTGTTTGACCGTCTGTTACCTTTGTATTTATCTTCGATCAATGAGATTTATAATTTTTCTCCGTCCGAGTTCTTTTTCAACTGTATTCCTTTGACACTGTAATTTTATATGTGATCCTTCACACGTCTCTGATTTGTTTGTTCGGCTGCTTATTGCTGCTGTTATTCTGATTGTTGGAGAATTCAATGTGTCTTCACGGGCTGTATTGCTGCTGTGGAATATTCTCTTGGATATGCTTTATCTTGTATTGTGGTTGTTCTGGGTATGTACTGTTCCTTCGTGGTGGTCTAGTCATATCTGATTTTTTACTGAAGTCCTGGCTCTGCAGTAGTTCACATGGTTGTCCTTTTGGAGTTCTTTTTTCTTCCATGAGTCTGGCATATGTGCATCTGAGTTGTGCTATAAATATGGCATGTTGCTGATACCCTGTTGTGTAGTTTCTTCTTCTTCTTTTTGTAGTCATGGATATTATAGTTTGGGAGCTCGACGAGCCCCCGGGCCTGTTCTCTTTCTTCTGTTTTCTTCTGCTAGTAAATGGTGTAGGTCTTGTGATAGAGACTAGTAGCGGGCTAGTCTCGAGGTGATATTTAGCTGTAAGGGATATTGAGGCAAATGGTGTAGGACTTGTGATGTGAGTGATGCATGTTGCGTTGCCTCATCTTCCAGTGCCTGCCCTTTCTTTTTTGTTCTTCTTACAGTGATGATTGGCGCATGTTCCGGCTTGTTCTTCGACAGTCCGTTGTAGATCAGCCATTATTCGGTCTTCTGCTGTGCCATTTAGGTTCAGTCCAATACAAATCAGCACGTGTTGAGAGATGGTGCCGGGTTCTTCTATATTGACGTGGTTGTCATTGTCAATCTTGGATGGCTTGTGGGTGCCTTCTCTGTCACCTATAGCAATCTTGGTTCGAGTTGTTTTGTGCGCTCTTCCTTTGGAGAAAAGTACGTTCGAGTTGTTTTATCCTGCCTGGTAATGTCGAATCTTGGTTCGAGGGTTGCAACCTCGTGTTGAATGATTTCCTTTGCTTTCTTCGTTGAATTCATCAGATCTTGTATTCTGTTGTAATCTCAATGTACCTTTGATGAAATGAAAAAATATTCCTTTCTGCTCTGTGACCGAGTTGTTTATTGATGTGGCCGAGCTCTTTTGTATGTTTGTACTGTGGTGTATTGTCATGACTGACTTCTTGCATCCTTGTTTCCTGGTTGCCTCCTTGTGATTGTGTTAATTCGTCATGTATCCATTATAGTCTGAACGGACCGTTGCTTTTTCATTTTGTGTGCATGGTAATTGTGGAACGGTAACTTTGAAGGGCCTCTTCGAGCAATCCGCGTGATTTTGGGCCTCGTGGGCCGCGTATTTTTCTTGTATAAAGATAACTGCTCTGTTATTGTTGGCTTAACTTGCCATTGCAGTAAAAAATTCCCCAATCTCAGCCAAAACCTTAGCTCCATTGTGCCTTCGATCTCCCGCTATTTCTGTCCAAATCTTGTCTTTGTTTTTCTGAGATGGTGGCGAAGAACAAGAGCAAGAATAAGGGCAAATCTGTCGATGAGGAGGCGTCGCTCAAGGTGATCGAGAACACCAAATTTGTTGCGATGCGGAAAATACAGAGGCAACTCCCCAAGCCATCGACTTCGGAGGCGGAGTTGGATCTGCTTGTTGCTCATGGCCTTCTTCAGGAGAAATGTCTCTCTAATTTATCTGGTCCTGGTGAGCACGATGTCCCTTCTCCCACTCCGAATCAATCTGTTCTTTTTGTTCCTTTTGTGCGGGCGAGGCTCTGTTATCCCCCGTCTGATTTCTTACTTGAGTTTCTTGGATCCTATGGGATTCAAATCCATCATCTTACCTCTAACGGGGTTCTTTTTCTTTCTACCTTCGTGCATTTTTGCGAAGTTTTTGTTGGAATTCCTCCAAATCTTCTTCTTTTTCGTCATTTTTTCCGTGTGCGTTTGTCAGATGAAAATAATACTCCTTTTCTCGGCTGCTGCCTTATCCAATCTCATCAGGGAGTTTCTTTCCCTTCTCTTACCCTTTCTGATTCTGTCAAGAATTAGGCGAAGAAGTGGTTTTATATTTCAAAACCTGCTCTTTCCTTTTCTCATGATCTTTCTGTTCTTTCCATTCCCCTCTCTATTTGGAAAGATAAAATCTCTTCTGCTGAGCGTGCTGCTCTGAAGCCTGTACTCGCTCAAGTTGCGGTGCTTAAACAGGCAAGCTTAAGTGGCAATTGTATAGTTGCCAGTTTCTTGCGTCACCGGGTGCAACCTCTTATGCAGAGAGTGCATTACGGCTTTGAATATACTAGGCCCTCAGATCCTTCCCGACTTGTTCCTGATGTCGAGTTGCCTGAGGAGGTCATTCTTGAACGCCTGGGGCGTATTCTGGGTGGGGTCTCTGTGATGCCTGTTCGTGTTGAAGAGTATGATGCTGCTCATCCTCCTCCTGAGGTAAGTGGTAATCTCCTCCGAGTTCTTTTGGGTTTTTGTAATTCGTATTCTGTTTTTGACTTCTTTCTTCTTCTCTTGCAGGGCTTTGGTGGGGCTTTTAAGCTTGAGATAGATGTTGCTGGTGGTGGCGGGGCTGTTGTTGAAGAGCCCGCCGAAGAAGGAGATGAAGATGATGATACTGTTGCCGGTCCTGTGGTAGTTGCTGCTACCGGGCCGGGTTCTTCTTCTACCAGGTTGATTACTGGCTTGTTTGAAGGTCACCACTCCTACGTTGAGTATGTTCCTGATCCTCGAATTGCTCAATATATCTTGTCATCCAGGAAGCGGAAGTCAGAGGTTGCTGCTAAGCATATTTTACCCAAGAGGCAACGTTCAATTCGTCAGATTGCCTCAACAGGTAATGTTCTCGTAGGTGAGCTTGTGCTTTCTCCTGTGTTGTTTTTGCCTCTGTCTTTTGGTTTGCTTTGTTTTACTGATCCCAGCTTTTGTTGTCTTGATAGAAGGCCGGTCTATTGTCTTGAGCGAGGTGGAGACTGAGGATGAGGTCCCCTTGATCACTCGACCATAAGTCTTCCGCTGTAAATTTTCTTGTGCTTGTGTTTTTGCTCTTTTCCTAAATAACTGAATTGCTTTTTTCATTATAGTCGAAAACCGGCACCTTGTGCCCCTTCTGTGACAGTTGTATCTGCTTCTGTCCTAGAGGCCCTCCCAATCCCCTCCTTTGAGGTGGTTGAGGATGATTTGTTCGACGTGCCTCTCCCGAATCTTGGCTTCTCAGGGGTGGCTGGAAACTTTAAGAAGGTTATCAAGTAAGTATATTTATCTTGTCTTCTGATTCACCATTTTTGCTTTTGTCTCTGACTGGCCCGAGCTCTTTTTTCAAATGTAGGCCTTCGGAGGATACTTCTTCTTCCCTGGCTCTTGATGCCGGTGGACCTCTACAAGATTTTACTGCTGGTAAGTTATTTTCCCGTTTATGCTTGCTTTCTTGGTTTTTTCTTTTCTGTCTGACGGATTGTTTTCTTTGTAGCTTCTCTTCCACGTATTGCCTCTCCTGCTCCGTGTGTTGAGGAGGAGGCTATTGGAACTCCGGTGTCTCCTCCAATGGAGCACCGAGTTGAAGTGAACTTAGGCAGCCCTTTTGCTGCTCCTATTCTACCGACCGGGTTGTCCCTGCTGGACAACCTCGAAGCAGCTGCTCGGGAGGATGCAGTGAATGGGGAGCCGGCTGATAATAATCCTTCGTCTGTTGCTGCTGTGGATGCTGCTGGTACTTCTAGTGTCGGCCAGCCTTTGACTTCTACTCCAAGTACTCTCCTGTTAACTCAGGGTGGGGAGGAGTTGGTCCAACTCGGTCGTGTTGAGCGGCTGTCTGAGTTGGTTTCTTTGTGGGAGAATTTCTCGGGCGCGTATGGCGCCAAACTTAAGGTATTCGAGTTCTTTTTAACTTTCGATATTGGTTTTTTCTGCTATTGTCTCACATTTTTTTGCTTTGCAGTCTTTATTTCAAGATCAGGATGTCTTGTTCGGTCCTCATGAGGCACAATTTACTGCCATTGCTGAAGCCATTTTGAAAAGAAAGGAAGATGAGTTGGCTCGGACTGAAGTTGTCCTGACTTATGAGAAGGCGCAGCGTGCTCTAATGGAGTCCGCCCTTAATGCTAAGGTGCTTGAGGCTGAGAAGGTGCGCGACTCATCTTTGCAGGCTGTTACTGCTGCTCAGAATGAGGTCTCCGTGTTGAAGAAAGAAAAAACTGGTGGGTTCTCCTTTGCATACTTGCTTTTTTTGCCTTGTTTTTTTCTTTCTTTCTTTGAGTTCCTTGTCTGCTTTCTTTTCAGCTCTTGTTAAGGATAAGGAGAGTTGGTAGAAAGAACGAGAGGAGATGATCAATACCCTCCGTACTTCTCAAAATCAAGTCGAGTCTGTAAGTTCTTCTTCTGATATCAAATTGAAAGAGGCCCAAGATTTATTTGCTCAGGCCAAGCTGATTGGATCTAGAGCTGACCGTGACCTTGTTTAGGCTTTGAAATCAGTGCAAGATTTGCAGGAGAAGTTAGCAGCTGCCCATGATCAATTCTAGGCTCTCCAAACTAAGCTGACAGGTGCCCAAGATCAATTCTGGGCTCTTTATGAAGCTATGAAGCCTATTATTGCTGTTGTTTGTCGCCAAGAGGACTTTGCTCAAGGGTTGAGAGGCATTATCCCGGTGTTGTCAACTCGATTTTTTGAGTTTGTCAAGGGTGGTTTTTACCATTGTGTAAACAATGTTATATCCTTCATCCGGGTTGCCACTCCTGATGCTCCGCTTCAGCAAATTGTAGATTCTTTCGTGACTGCAGAGTTTGCGCAGCGATGGGATGAGGCGAAGGTGGAGCTTGGTGGTCTTACAGACCAAATCTTGGAACAGATGGATGTGCTTCCTGCTGTGCCTCCCGCTCCTTAGATGTTTTGTGTAATGAACCTGTGGTTTCTTGTAATATATACTTGTCTCTAAAAATATGATTAGGCTTTGCCCTGCTTTTGAATTTGTCTTTGACTAAAATGAGCAGGCTTCGACCTGTCTTTCTTTTTCTTCTGAGATGTCTTTGAATAATATGGAAAAGTTTCGCCCTGTCTTTTCTTGTGACTTTTTCATGCTCTGCCACAGCTTGTTTCTTCTTGGTGATCGCTCTTGGGGTAGGCGATCGAGTTGTTGGAGTGTTTGTGCCCCTCCTTGGACGACGTAGTCGATCGTACCCTCTTGTTGTAGGCGACCGAGTTGTTGGAGTGTTTGTGCCGCTCCTTGGGCGAAGTATTCGATCATACCACTCTTGGGGTGGGCGACCATGTTGTTGGAGTGCTTGTGCTCTTCTCTGGTCGAAGTAGTCGATTGTACCGCTCTTGGGGTAGGCGACCGAGTTGTTTTAGTGATTGTGTCCCTCTCTGGGTGAAGTAGTTGATCGTACCACTCTTGGGGTAGGCGACCGAGCTGTTGGAGTGCCTATGCCGCTTCTTGGGCGAAGTAGTCGATCGTACCACTCTTGGGGTAGGCGACCGAGTTGTTGGAGTGCTTGTGCCGTTTCTTGGGCGAAGTAGTCGATCGTACCACTCTTGGGGTAGGCGACCGAGTTGTTGGAGTGCTTGTGCCACTTCTTGGGTGAAGTATTCGATCGTACCACTCTTGGGGTAGGCGACCGGACCCGTATAGCACAACCGTTTCTGGGTTGGCTGTTTGCAGGGTAAGTAAGCAATCATACCAGCTCTTGGGGTAAGCAATTGCGCCTGTATAGCAACAACCATTTTCGGGTTGAGCTGTTTGCAGGGCTGCCCCTTTTTCCCCAACCTGATTACGGGTTGGTTCTGTCCGTTGGACAGGGCTGTTAGTCGTACCATCTCTTTATGGTAGAGTGACAAATGCTAGCATTGGTCTCCTTACCCAAGAAGCTATTTGGTCGTTGGCCGTCAGTCAGACCATCTCTATATGGTTGAGTGACAAGATTGCCCGTGTAGCACAACCGTTTCCGGGTTGGCTGTTAACAGGGAAGCCCCTTTTTCCCCAACCTGATTACGGGTTGGTTCTGTCCGTTGGACAGGGCTCATATTTGAAGCTGTTCTTCTTGAATAATCTCTGTTTTATTTCTCTTGAAACATGAGTACAATCTGTTGTACTTAATTGTAGAATCTTTTGAGCTGGCTTATGTCAAGTGTTCTTTACAGGTATTTCATCTGGAGTCATCAACTCGTATGTGTCGGGTCCTGTTGCTGTCTTTACGATGAAGGGTCCTTCCCATGGACTGAGTAGTTTGTGTCGTCCATCTTTCTTCTGGATTAGTCATAGTACTGAGTCCCCTGGCTTTAGCGATCAGGGTTGAGTACTTTTGTCATAATGTCTTCGTAACCCTTGCTGATATCTTGCATTTTGTATGATTGCACTGTCTCTTATTTCTTCTATTGAATCAATTTCTAACCGCCTTGTTTCTTCTGCTTCACCTTTTTCATATTATTCTATTCTTGGAGATAGCCATATTAAGTCGGCTGGTAGTACCGCCTCTGATCCGTAGATCAGAAAGAACGGTGAGTATTCAGTTGCTCTGCTGATCTGGGTTCTTAGACCCCATACCACTTTTGGTAATTCGTCGATCCATTTTCCACCATAATCTTTCAAATCTTCATATAATCTTGGTTTTAAACCTTGTAATATGAGTCCATTTGCTCTTTCGACTTGTCCATTGGCCTGCGGGTGTGCTACTGACGCAAAGTCGATTCCTATCACACAATCTCTTGCCTAGTATTGGAATTCTCTTGCTGTAAATGGTGAACTAAGATCTGTGATTATTCTGTTGGGCATGCCGAACCTATGCATGATGTCTTGTATTAATTCCACTGCCTTTTCTGCACTGTATTTGACCAAAGGTTTGTATTCAATCCACTTTATAAATTTGTCGATTGCCACAAATATGTATTCGAAGCCTCCTTTTACTTTTTTGAGTGGTCCGACTTGATCCAGCCCCCAGCATGAGAACGGCCAAGTCGGCGGTATGCATATTAAGTTGTGAGCCGGCACATGTGATTGCCTAGCAAACATTTTGCAATTCTTGCATGTTCTGACGAGCTCTTCTGCATCTTTGAGTGCTGTTGGCCAATAGAAACCGGTTCTGAATGCTTTGACGACTAGTGTCCTAGAGGCTGCATGATTTCCACAGCATCCTGAGTGGATTTCGTCCAAGATTTCTTTTCCTTTATCTGTCGGAACACATTTAAGCAGTACTACTGATGATGCTGCTCTTTTGTATAGTTTATCCCCCACCAGAACGTAGTTTTTGCTTCTTCGTACAACCCGAGTTGCTTCTGCTTTGTCTTCGGGTAGTTTCTTCTCTTTGATAAAATCAATGTATGTTTGTCTCCAATCATTTTGTATGACCATGATTTGTCTTGACTGGTCTGGTTCTTCTGCTTGATCTATTTCCATTGGATCTGTTGTCTCCTTCGCTTTTTCTGTGTTTCTGAGTTGTTTGATGGA